ACACACACACACACACACACACACACACACACACACACACACACACACACACACACACACACACACACAAACGTTAACACAACCAATGCGACAAGAAAGTCATGTCTACAAATACGAAATGCTTGTATGGAGTTTTTACACTGGTAATGAAAGCAAGTTACAACTCACTCAAGAATTGGAATCATTCCTATAAATTTCGTGCTGATTCAGCCAACTGCAAATCAATGTTATAACAAGTGACATGAACTAATCAAACATTGACGGTTGTCAGAATTTTTATGGTACTTAGAAAAAAGTTAGCAGTTTAGGAGGATCTGTTTGCTTTTGGAAGAGGGTAAAAAGGTACATTTTCAGTGCAAGACTTTTTTTTTTTAGATCGTTTTCAAATTTAAATAATTTTTATCAGCAGCTATGGCTTTTGTCGTTCTTTGAGTGTTAAAATGTCAGATTTTTAATCCTATTTTTATTTTCATTTTGCTTCCGTCTCAATATTGTAATCTTGTTTTAACAAAACGGAGTTTCTTTTCGGTGTGCGTAAAAGTGTTACTGTATATTTTCAGGAAAATCCTGTTTTTTGCCCTTTTCTTTTTGTTGCTTATTGCTGTTTTCAAATTAGCATAAAACAGGCAAGAAAAAGCCAAATTTGTTGTACTATTTAAAGACGATTTTATTGAAAGTTTTCCCTCAGAAAGAGCCAAGAATGTTTGTGAGTCGTGTTCTAGTGTCTGGTGGGGTAACAGTACTTTGCAAAGGACATAGAGCAGGCTGCAGAGCGTGGATATGTGCTAGATACATGAGAGTTAATACTATTATAACAATAATAATAATAATTATTATTATTATCATCATCATTATTATTATTATTATTATTATTATTATTATTATTATTATTATTATTATTATCGTTATTATTATTATTATTTTCATTATTATTATTATCATTATTATTATTATCATTGTTGTTGTTATTATTATTATTATTATTATCATCACTATTATTGTTATTATTATTACTATTATTATTATTATTAATACTATTATTATTATTATTATTTCATCATCATCATCATTATTGTTATTATTTTTATTATGTTTAAGGGAGCAGAAAAAAACCCTTGGCTTCTACTTTGACTATCTATTATTGTTGTTTTTAATCTGTTTGAAAAAAAACAGTTATTTTAAAAATGATAAAACTTTATCACCTCCTTTCTCCCATTCTGCCTATTTTCACAATCTGTGACTACTCAAATCGATCCACAACCTAGCATATCGTAGCATCTTTTTCATATAGAATGGCTACTAGACGCCTCTAGTGTTTTGTATAGAATTATTGGGAACCCATAATTGTTCTGTTCTGCACCTCTTTTCCTCTGTCGGTCTGTCTCGCTCTTTCCAGGTGCAAGACAGTCGTGATCGTTGTGTGCTTTCTGTTTGTTTTTTCGTCTGTTGGGGGGGGGGGGGAGGTTGGGTTTTTTTTGGGGGGGGGGGGGGTGGTTCTCCAATCTAACTTTGTTGCCCCTTGGTGAGAGTGCAATATTGTCCTCATGCTCGTCATAACTGATTTGGTAGATAGATAGATATATAGACAGATAGATAGATAGATAGATAGATAGATAGATAGATAGATAGATAGATAGATAGATAGATAGATAGATAGATAGATAGATAGATAGAGAGAGATAAGCAGATAGATAGATAGATAGATAGATAGATAGATAGATAGATAGATAGATAGATAGATAGATAGATAGATAGATAGATAGATAGATAGACAGATAGAATAGCTTTGCTCTTTCAGATTCACAGCCAAGAAAAGTCTAAATAGTATGATAATGCTGTAAGTTTGAATGTGAGAATCAAATTTTAGAGAGTAAAGGGAGACGAAGATTTTTCACCTAAATATACCCCAAAAAAACTTTGAATTCCCTGATTATAATAATATTATATCTTACTTTATAAGTAATTGGCCTGAGCACCTTTCAGTGGAACTGTGAAATACTGACACGATCAATGAACACACGTTCGAAATTCCAATATTTGAGTGTTTTTTTCCTAACTGATCCTGTCTTTCTGAGAATGTACGAGCTATTTAAAAAAATTTTCATCACCGCTCAATCTTCCAAGGGTCACCCCCGTAGGTTACCTGCCTTTGAAATAACGTCCATAATGATAGTGTCTGGCCCCGTATCACATCTCAACAAAAAACGTCTTCTATGA